GCATCAAGTTTTATATGATAAATATACTTTCAACCTAATGGCTGCTTCAAAAGCAAAGACTGAAAAATCACCTCTTCTTAAAAGTAATCTAGACTGACTCAATAAAGTTCACAATTTAGAAAGATCAATTGCTACTCTGTTTCCATAGATTGCAAAATGATTTCAGAAACAGATTAAACATACAATTGTTTTACAAAAATAGAAATATTGTTTGGGACTTTACAAAACTTTATAAAATATAATACTATATTTGTAAATTCAAGATAGTTTCACACTGAAATAGAAAATACTTCCACAAATATGAAGTCTAGTCAAACTTAACTGGTCGCTCCTAACCATTCTCATACATTATTTCTTCCAAATCTTCAACCTGAGTAGATCTGTGCTCTAGCATGAGATTTTTTAAAAGAGATTGGTTAGTTTCAAGAAGTTGTATAAGATTTTTCATCCTAGAAACAATGTTAAAGCAGAAGATTTACACCTAAAAATATGTCTCACTAAAAGTAGAAATAATGCAGTGACAATTTGTATTTGATAAATTTCAAACCAGATTCCCCAGAATGACAATTATAATTTGGTACCTACAAAAAGTAAAAATATACAGTAATCACAACTATTTTATGGAAAATATTTATTCATATGGAATAAAGAACCTCTGAATTTAGTTATTTGTAGCTGTCAAATGAGAAGTACTTTCTAATTACACCCATTTATAACATTCATTTTACACCTCAAAGAACACCAGTGTATTTTTTTTTAATATTTATTTATTTATTATTTTTTTGTTGCGATACGTGGGCCTCTCACTGTTGTGGCCTCTCCCATTGCGGAGCACAGTCTCCGGACACACAGGCTCAGCGGCCATGGCTCACGGGCCCAGCTGCTCCGCGGCATGTGAGATCCTCCCGGACCGGGGCATGAACCTGTGTCCCCTGCATCGGCAGGTGGACTCTCAACCACTGTGCCACCAGGGAAGCCCTGCGCCAGTGTATTTTTAAAACAAACTGAAAAGGTAGGGGCTTATTACATGCAACAGTGGTATTATGATAAGACACCACCTGGTGTATGAAAAAGCCAAACAAAGTATTTCCAAAGCATGTATTTCTGTTACTGGTGTCTTAACCTTTAGATAGGATGGTTAGAAAAAAGCTAGTAACATTATTAGCTAACCACATCACACTCCTTTTCCATCATTCTTTGCTTTTCCATATTACAGAACATATAATAAACAACAGTATAGTACATGGTATGTTAAATAAACATCTTTTCCCAACCATTCAAGAAAATAGTGTAGAATTAAAACAAGAATAAGAAACCAAAAACTTTTCTGATCTATTCGCAACAGTCTATCCCTGTAGAAGAATAGGGAGCTGGGGGAGGTGAGAGAGTGGCAGCAGCAGTTGGGGCTGGGGGATGGTAACAGGACCTACTTTCTGTAGAATATATTGAGGCACATAGGTTAAAAGTTTCGCAGGCAAATTCATTGCTAGAGCAAAACTGACAGAAAGCTCAGGATTTTACATTCCCCCCAGAGCTGATTTCTCAGATAGCCACATCCGATTAAATATTTCAAAATATTCCCTTAGTCACTGCTATCATCGTCGTCATCATCGTCAGATACATCATTTAAAGGAGGCTTCAGTGACTGACTATAAGAGTCCGATCTAGTAGGCTGGCACCTGGCCATGTCCCCAGTAGAAAGCAGGTCATAGTAGAAGTCACAAATCCTCACAGGCTTAGAGGACTGGCTGGGAAGAAGTCGCTTTTCAGAGCAGGGCCCCACAGACAACAAAACCACATTTGCGGCAGTGGTGACGACGATTAACAGGTGTGAATTTTGCTGTCTGACAACGCGTACATACAGTTGCCTCAGAGTCAGGAACCCAGACAGCAGCACGTTCATACTGGGTGTCTTCCCACTTTTGGAGAGCAAATCAGTAACACATTTGTCTGTGTGATTCATCCATTCTGATTTCTCAGTGGCGGTGGCAGAATAAACTGCAAATGATTTAGTTGGTGTCTTGATCAGCCATCCATTCCCCAAGTCTCCCTCATCTGTGAGAGAATCAATTGTGACGTTTTCCAGGGGGATAATATGTTAATTGTTATATTTTTTCTTCTGGATGGCAATATTGCCATACACAAGAATATCATTAAATAAGAAAAACTGCCTTGCTTTAGGCTTTTTTCTGCACAACTTAGTCAATACTCCTTCTCCATTAAGAACCTGTCCAGGTATAGTTAAGGGTTGGCCAGCTGCTCCAAAACAGTTTTCTACTATAATTTTACGTCTAGTATTTGCTTCACTGTTTGCCAAGTGATCCACCATCTTTTGCTAATAGCCTCCAAACTCGGGAACTCCACACTCCAGAGGCCCTCCTTTCCACATGCTGCCTCTCCCCTTCTGCCTGAAGAACTTCATTTAACATTTCTTGCAAGGCAGGTCTATTGGCAACAAATTCCCTCAGTTTTTATTTGTCTGAGAAAGTCTTTATTTCTCCTTCACTTATTTTGTGTGTGTGTGTGCGGTACGCGGGCCTCTCACTGCTGTGGCCTCTCCCGCCGCGGAGCACAGGCTCCAGACGCGCAGGCTCAGCGGCCATGGCTCACGGGCCCAGCCGCTCTGCGGTATGTGGGATCTTCCCGGACCGGGGCACGAACCCGTGTCCCCTGCATCGGCAGGTGGACTCCCAACCACTGTGCCACCAGGGAAGCCCTCTCCTTCACTTTTGAAGGATAATTTCACAGGCTACAGAATTCTGCATTTTTTTTCCCCCTCTCAGTACTTTAAACATTTCACTCTACTCTCTTCTTGCTTATGTGGTTTCTGAGAAGAAGTCAGATGTCATTCTTATCTTTCTTTCTCTGTAGGTGAGGTGTTGTTTCCTTCTGGTTTCTTTCAGGATTATTTTTCTTTACCTTTGATTTTATGCAGCTTGTATATGATATGCCTAGGAGTAGTTTGTTATTGGTTTTGATTTTTGTCATTTATCCTGCTTGGTGTCCTCTAAGCTTACTGGGTCTGCGGTTCGGTGTCTGACTTTAATTTGAGGACACTCTCAGTCATTTTTGCTTCAAATACTTCTTTTGTTCATTTCTCCCTTTTTTCTTCTTCTAGTATTCCCATACACATATGTTACATCTTTTGTAATCATTCCACATTTATTAGATATTCTGTTCCTTTTTTTTTTTTTTTTCTGTTTTTTTCCCTTGCTTTTTTTTTTTTTTTTTTTATTTTTCCATTTTTTTTAGTTTTTCTGTTCCTTTTTTTTTTTTTTTTCAGTATGTTTCCCTTGCTTTTCTGTTTTGGAAGTTTCTATTGACATATCCTCAGGCTCAGAGATTCTTTTCTCAGTTATGTCCATTCTACTAATGGACCCGTCAGTGACCTTCTTCATTTCTGTTGCAGTGTTTCTGAGTTCCAGCATTTCCTTTTGAGTCTTTCTTAGAATTTCCATCTCTCTGCTTGCCCATCTGTTCTTACATGCTGTCTACTTTATTGATTAGAGCCCGTGGCATATCAATCATAGTTGTTTTAAATTCCTGGTCTGGTTATTCTAACATCCCTGCCATGTCTCAGTCTGGTTCTGCTGCTTGCCCTGTCTCTTCAAACTGTTTTTTGCCTTTTAGTATGCCTTGTAATTTTTTTTTTTTTTTTGATAGACATGATGTGTTGGGTAACAGGAACTGCAATAAAAGGCCCTTAGTAACATGGTGCTAAGGTGCTGGGGGAGGGGAAGCATTCCGTAGTCCTATGATTAGATCACAGTCTTTCTGTGAGCCTGTGCCTCTGAACTACGAGCCTTACACATGTTTCTCAGGGCTCCCCCCCGCCCCGCTCCACCTTATGTGGGACAGGATAGCTAGCATGGGCTGGAGTTGGGTATTTCCCTTCCCCCAGGTTGCTTAGCATCTGATAAAACTACAATAGTTTAGTCTCTGGCAAAATAGCTTCTCCTGAGAGTAGGCCTTGTTAAGAACAGGGTGCTCTGGTGTATTTCAAAATCCTTTCCCTCTCCCCCTGTCATAAGCAGGAGGGAATTTTTCTCCAATGTTCACCGTGAGAAACCTGGTCAGACAATTAGAGGTAAAGCTCCCAGAGTGCGGGGACCCCTATGACGGGGTCAGCCTAGAGGCTTTGCCTCTCAGACTTGTCCACTCTGGGACCCTAGCAGTTCGCCAATTTCAGTGCCAGCTTCCCTACCCTGCACTGGTTTCCACGGGGTTGCTGCTCGGGAGTTTCTGCTCCGCTAAGTTGTGATTCATATAGTTACCTGTCTGTCTCTCCCTCAGGGCAGTGGTTTGCCCTGTGACCTTACTTCTCTGATAAATCTTAAGAAGAGTTGTTGATTTTCCAGTTTGTTCAGCTTTTTACTCATTAGGGCAGAACAGCAACTTCCAAGCTCCTTATGTGCTGGACTGGAAACCCAAACAGTTTACGTCTTCGCTTTTGATGTCCTACACCAAGGACAGTGAAGTGATGTGGACAAAACAAAGACATTCAAGCATGGCCTTTGTCCCTTGGAACCCAGATTTTGGATTTGAAAGGGGCCTTGGAGATCACCTCACTCAGTCTCCTTGTTTTCAGATGAGCATCTTGATAGGCTGTACTGTGGGCATTCCTCTCTTGGGAATATTCCCACATTTCAGTAGAGTAATAGAGTGAACTGTGTACAGGGGACCCATTTGGGTTCAGCATCCAATTGAACTTTCTTCAGAGAAACCAGTTAAGTTCTATGGTCAGTGTTCTGCTCCCTGCAAGGAAATTTCAATGTGATTTTTATTTATCCATAAGCTGGTTATCTCCATATGGTGGTTTGATGGATGATTTTAGTTCTGTGTGAGGGGATGATGGGTGATCTTTCATTTTTCTTGTTTTGTCTTTCTCCACTTTCCAAATTCTAACAAATGAACATGTGTTCCTTTTACAACCAGCACAAAATAAGGTAATGTTTTAGGCTATGACCATTTGGAAGCCTCTCCTCTGTGCTTCCTTACAGTCTGCAAGATGAACGTTCACCGGCGCTGCGAGACCAACGTGGCTCCCAACTGTGGCGTGGACGCCAGGGGCATTGCCAAAGTGCTGGCTGACCTGGGCGTCACTCCAGACAAAATCACCAACAGTGGCCAGAGGAGGAAAAAGGTAACTGGCTCTTTGGTGGTGTTTCTGGAGCTCTTTGTGAGCCAGCATCTCTGTGTTGGCTTCCCGAGAGTCACTTGGAGTGAAGTTCTGAGACTGCTGGGTTTGAGACACTGGACTTGAAGCAGCACGTGCTTCAAGAAAAAAGAAAAAAGAAAAGGTCAGGCAGGTAACATGAAAGTCTCCTTCGGTTCCAGAGGTGGGGAAAAGCTAAGCAAGTCTCAAGTGTGCTGTTTCTTAGGGGAACGTCAGCTTCAGGATTAGGACTCTGGAATTCCGTCCAGAAAAGACTCGACTCTAGACAGGGAAATAGACTTATCTGCCTCCAGGACTGGCAGGAAAGCAACGTCAGTGCTCAGACTTTGCCTCTGGTATCACTTTAATGAGGATAAATGGATGAAGAGCGGGAACCACATTCTTTTCTAGGAAGCAAGCCAAGAAGATTTGTGTTAGTGCCGGCACTCGGCTGCCCGAGGAATATTGTTATGTCCCGCGACATGAAACATCTGGGCCTGTCTTTGGAGACCAAAGCCCTGTCTCTATCCATGTAGCATTCTGAATGTCAGTAGGAAGAGATCCATTTGCTAAAATGTTATTTTGGTAAGTCAGGGCCCACAGATGTAAATAGAGCTAAAGGTATCCATAGCATTTTGTTTGAAGGCCCTTCTTAGCCTTGGATCCTAGCCTAGAAAATGTAAGAATTCTCTGAAAGACTTAAGTTATGAGAAAATTGGAACCATGTTAACTGGGCAAGAAATCCTGGTGGGGGTGGGTGGCCCTTGTTGCCCGGTATTTTTTTTTTTTTTTTTTTTTACTAGAAAACAAGCCTGACTCTGGGCGCCTCTACAACTTGACTCCTAAATGTCCCTGAATTTTCGCTTGAAATACCTTCTGAAGGGCATTTTAGAAGCTGCCCACGCCTTTTCCCTGCTGCCTCTCAGAGGAGCCTTCTCCCTGAAATGGGAAGGTTTGGGTTGTTTCCATCTTCTTAAACTTCTTCCTTACCTTTCCAATAAACAAAGGAGTTTTTTAAGGATTGGAGGAAAAAAAACATTCTCTTCTCTAGTTAACTGTGAGATTTTGTGCTTCTGGTGGCTCTTCTCAGCTCTGTCAGTCCCCCTGGTGGAAACAGGACTTCAGTTATTGACCCAAGACATTGGAGTTGCAAGCAGAATGTCAGCACCCAGAATGCTGAGGCTCCACCGAGGAGGCGGGTTAGACGAAGAGCCTGTGAGGACAGTGTTGAACACACACATTTATGAGCTCTACAGAGAGCCCTGTTCAGGGGACATGATTTTGTTTCTTGCTAGAAGTAAACTGAGGCAGAATCCTTATTGTCATGAAACATTTCAGAGAAAACTCAGTACCTGCCCCCTCCCCTGTATTTACATGGGCCATGATGGCAGTAGCCAGGCATTGTCTGTCTGTCTTGGATTTGGGAGATCCTGGAGGTAAGAAGCCAACATGCAGAAATTCAGGAAGGAACAAAGTCAAAGACTAAAGGACTTCAGTCCTGATATTATTATCGCTTTGATACTTCTAATGCAAAAGCTGGAAAAAGTCAAGTGAACCAAAGCTGGAAAAAGTCAAGTGAACCAAATAGTAGCTCAAGTTAGTACGAGAGGATGGGAGACAAGTGCTCTTGGCCAGAAGCTTCAAGGGCTTCTTTGCAGGAGCATCAGGCTTGCTAGAGCGTTGGTTCCCTTAACATTGCCCCTTCCAAGTAGTCCGTCATCCAGAAAGAATGTGTGTGCATAGCAGGTAGATCAAGAGTAAAATGGAGCAGAAGGGCTTGCAATCTCTGAGTCTAAACCTCTGACTTAAATGGGAACTTAAAGTGGATATGCCAGCATCTATGCTGGGAAACAGACTTCACTGGGGGTGTCCTGCTAAAATTTGCCAATTGCCGACAGATACCCATACACCTGAAGACGTTTATTGAGCTTCTATTGTGTGTATCGCTCTCTGCAATCACCAGGGGCAGTACAAATACTAGATAGGGTCTAACTTTCAGAGAACCTACAGTCTACCTGAGTAGCGAGCCCCAAACTAAATGAAGCTGAACAAAGTAATGAATAAATGGCAAGCAGCTGTTAGAGGCAAGTGTCAAGTTGCACTGGATGAGGTAACTTGCGTTTCTTGGGTAGGCAAGGAGGTTTCGTGGAAGGTTGGGCTTCGCTTGGAAAGGTCAGCTGTATTTGGATAGAATAAAAATCAAGCAGACTGACATCTCTTGTTTTCTTCCCTTTAACTGGCAAATGAAACCTTGAGTCTCTGCCTTCAAACTGTCAATTCAGCAACTGCTCCTGTGCGCCAGGGACTCCTAGGGCCCTGGCATCGCTTCTTGATGCTTTTGACCTCAGGGAGACTCCCCACGCCCCCTTCTGATCCCTCTCTCCCCTCGTTCTCTCCCCCTCTCTAGCTCATTGCTGGTGCTGAGTCCCCGCAGCCTGCTTCTGGAAGCTCACCGTCTGAGGAAGATCGATCCAAGTCGGCCCCCACCTCCCCTTGTGACCAAGGTGAGACTCTCAGATTTGCTCCTTTACCTCTGAGCTCTGCCCTTGGAAGGACGAGGGAGCCCGAGGCCTCTTCATCCAAGCATGGCCTTGTGAGCAGAAGCAGCCGGCAGCCCTGGAGGGTCTCCGGGTGACCTTTCCCAGCTGACTCCTTAGCTGTGCTTGCCCTCTACAAGGCTTTCTTGAGGGTGAGGCACTAAATGGCTGTGCCAGCCTGAAATGCCCCCCAGGCAGGGTGAGAGAGAGCGAGCTGGGGTGCTGTGGTTCTTTCTTTTTCTTCTTTTGCCTCTCCCTGGTTCCACATTCAGGAGAGGGAGAAGCCCTTCTCTTACCCCGCTGCCCAGCGTCTGCTCCCAGGCCCGTCAGCACGGCTCAGTTGAGTCTCACTTCCTTCCTCCCTGACTCTCATCAAGGTACCCGAAACCTGACAACAGGGCAGGAGTCGGGGGGATGGGGGGGGGGGGGGCATCCACCACGGGGGGGGGTGGGGATAGGAAGGTGAGGCTGGCGAAGAGCCTGAGAGAAGCAGTGGGGAGGAAGCCAGCTCTAGGACTGACTCCCCTCTAGAGCTCAGCTCGGGACGTTTCCTTCCCTGTCAGAATGTGCTGGAGGTCATCAGAGGTTTCTGAATTCTACAGGCATCCAGGGATGCCAAGGATGAGGAGGCACTTACACGTTTAAGACCTTCCCCTCTGGTGACCAGAACCAGATCTCACTGGGAAGGGATTTTTGCATCGGCAGAACATTCACCATCATTAATGAATCATAACAGGAGTGCCTTGATGTTCTGTAGCCCCTTTTCTTTCGTCTTCCTTATCCTAATTTTATGCTCACGCCGACTCTCTTGTCCATGCTCCCTTACTGTCCCCAGGTTACAGGGTGGGAAGTGGAAGGCAGAGAGTTGAAAAGGTTTGTCCAAAGGTCAGGAACTAAGTCAGTGGTAAGGGTGAGACTGCGCCCCTCCTGGCATAGGGACCCCATTCTCAGAATCCATGCCATCGAACCCTCCCTGGGGGTCATCACTGTGACCCAGCCCTTGGAGTGGCCCTAGCCCTTACCTAGGAGTAAATAAAACAGCTGCAAGGGGGTATGCCAGTCCTGAGGCCACAGAATAATTGGTCTGAGTGCCTCTTCATGCTGCTCTGGTTTACTTTCTGCATCTTTATACTCTGCTTCATTTCAAAAGAGGTTTGACCCATCTGGTAGTAAGCTGACGGTACTCTGGGGCCTCCAAGCAAGCAGGTACTATCCCGGCCCAGTGTGGGTATTTTCATGTTTCCCTTTTTTTAATGCTGAGAGCTCCTTTGAGAGCTTCTAGGAGACAGGGTCATAATGTAAAGAGACCCCAAGTAAGGGATGAGGTGCCCGGGTTTCTAGGCCTGGTCCCTGCCCAGAGTGCTGTCCAGCCTTGGCAGGACACCGTGCCCCTCAGGACTTCTCTTTGGCCCCAGTCAGTGCAAGTACGGCATTCCCCAGCAGTGTTGTGAGCACAAAGGGACGTGAAAACCCTCTTAGCAAGACATGGCATTATTGCAGAGCAGAAATAAGGCACTATTCCTCTTCCCTCTGTTGTAAGAACACATAGAAAGACATTTTCTTCAAGTTTTGATATCCCCAAGCATCCAAGTTCTGTCTCCCAAAATCCATTTATTAACTTGCCTTGGAAGTTAGGCTGAGAAGCTCTGTGCTGAGACCAAAAGTTATACTTAGTTAAGAGTAAGAGATAGAAAACTGCAGAATTGGCATGGGCATATCTGTAGACTCGGAAGCTGTCTTCACTCCTCCCCTCTACCCTGCCCCGACACATCTCAGAGTAGTCAAACTCCAGATCCAAGGAAGATCTCCAGGTTCCTGGAGTGAGCTCTCATGGGCCTCAGTCCTTCTGAAAAGAAGCCAAAGTTGTCTTTATGTCAAGCAGCACATGGTCACTAATGCGTGATTCTGGTTCCCAAGGGTCAGTAGTTTGTGTTCCCTTCCTGTGATCCCAGTTATTCACGAGCATCTTTTAAAAATGGGTTATGCTTAAGATGCCCATTTCTACACAGAGGGGTGTACGTCTTGGTGAATATATAGCTAACAATAAACCTTCCTCAAATAGAAAAGGTCAAAGGATCATCCAGCCTTATCATCCCCAGGTAATTCAGGTCACACACTCTGGAGGGGCACAAGGCTGTGTCGTAGTTGTGAAATTGTACTGAGGAATCCCTGTCCCATCCTAGGTAAATTTGCAGCATGTCACTCTTGGGAAGCAGTTCTTTTGGTAATGATAAGCCCATTGCTCATTTTGTTAAATAACCTTGTGTAAGATGGGTATTTAGAATAAACCCAGCAACAAGGCCAAATAAAGTCCCTTAGGAGGTAAAGGCTTCTTAGTCCCAGCTATTGAAATAATTACCTCACCAATAATTACTGTAACAATGGTTCTCCATTAGTCATTGTTCTAATTTTCAAAGGAAACTGGAAGGGTACCTGTTGCCTTGGGGACTCTGTGAGGTTCCAGAGAAAGCCAGGATTCCTCCATTACACCTAGAATAATGGAATAAATAGGCTACTGGCTGAAGGGGGCTTTCGGAGAGGTGGCCTGGTCCCAGAGTAAAAGGAAGATCTGAAGGAATTGGTTGGCGGGGACGGCCTCCTCTTTGCATGCCTAGGCCTTGCTGTACGTTAGGTGCCAAGGAAAGTGTGCAGAGCAAATGAAGCCACGTAAAGGGATGCCCCACTGGGTCTGCTGCTGTGAAGAACCAGAAAGAGGGTTGAGAGCTCATGGGGGTAAATTCTGAGTATTAAATCCTAATGGGAAGGGCTCGTGAGGTATGCGCTAATGCAGTATCTTGTCACACTTGGCCCTAGAAATAAAAGAACTTGAAAACAACATCCGGAAGGCCTTGTCATTTGACAACCGAGGGGAGGAGCACAGGGCAGCTGCATCCACCGACGGCCAGCTGGCGAGCCCGGGCGAGAATGGTGAAGTCCGGCAAGGCCAGGCCAAGCGCTTGGGCCTGGATGAGTTCAACTTCATCAAGGTGTTGGGCAAAGGCAGCTTCGGCAAGGTCTGTGACATGCAGGGGCAGGGCTGCTGGTTTGGTCCAAGATTAAGTGATGAACATTTCAGCCTAGTCTGATTATGTTTTCCTTCCTTGTTGAGTGCAGATGGCCTGAGGCCAAGCAGACAGGAGCCAGGGTTCTCCTGCTAACTAGCTGTGGGAGTTCAGTGTAGTCATTCCACCTCTCTGGGATTTAGTTTTTCTCGTTTGTCAAATGGGGACAGGAATCAAGTGAGAGAGTGGGGGAGAAAGCACTTGGAACGGTTTAAATTGCACTGCGTGTGCTTGGCATCCCATTATCGATAATAGTAACGATAGCTTTCTTCCCTTCAGAGATCAGTCTGAAATTCTGACTTTAATTCATCATGAAGACTTTGGAAATGCATTCTAGAATCTCTGCCCTCAGTGAACTTGGGGCTCAAAGGAAATCTTAGCATGTATTACTTTGGAAATATAATGTTCTTCAACTGACTTTTCTGCCACTGACTAAATGTCTTGTTTGTCCTCTGCACCTGGCAAGAGATTGAGCACAACTGTCTCGTGTCTTGGATGAGGGGCCACTGCCCTCGGTTCCATTCTCCCTCTCCTGCTCACCCCGAGCCCGACACAGCGATGTGGGGCGTGGGTGCAGAGTGTGTCCGCTAAAGTATTTGCAGTGATCAGCCAGCATTCTGAAGGTGGGGTGAGATGGAAAAATAATCCCGTTTATTTTAGAAAGAAGATGGAAGGACAGAGAGCCTAGGAAGCTGGTTAACACTTCAGTTCAGACCCCTGATTATTCCTGCTCTTCCCAAAGCCATGCCTGGGGGTCGATGGGAGTCATCTTTCTAGGACTTCCCAGAGCAGAGCGCCGGTGCTCAGGGGCCCAGGTGCCTGGCTCTGGGAGCTCCCAGGGGTCCCATGCCCTCACGCGTCCTGGACTTTTGCAGGCTGAGCTGCAGACCTGATCCACTTCTCTCCGAAGGGAGTGGCTCTCTGGAACCCCCAGGCTATGAGCCCCGGTTCTTAACCCATCTCACCTGCCCCATCTCATCCTGAGATCGCAGTGGCAGGAGAGGAACTGGGATTGGCTTAAATGGCAAAAGATGAAGCAATCACATTCTTTGGAGACTGGTTAAATAAGAAACAGACCCCAGTCCTCTGAGGAGGCATAACTCTGGGATGTGAGCAGGACCTGGTTTAACTTTGAGCAAGATTCAAGGGGAAGGAAGCAGGCTCAGAGTTTCCAGGTTTTCATAGGGTATACGCAGGATGGGAACTGTGATGACTCCGGAGCATTTCGGCTGCTTCTTCAGAGAAATTGCAGCCAAAGTTTGAGCCAGTTTTAAAGAGTTTGTATTATACGTGGGCGACAGAGGTCTTCAGGGTAACATCCTGAACACCGTCGTGAAGCCTCTGAGTTACTGTTCTTTAGCTCTACTAGAATACTGTACTTAGGAGTTATTCAGTGGGAGAAAGTCTTGTCACATGTATAGGGAAATGAGTGCAAAAATATCAAATGATAGGAAAACTTTAAGAAAATAGAACTGCTAATTTGCTCTCTAGAGAAGGAATCACATTCCCAGCTTTAAAGCTATAGAGGAAACCATAAAGGTAAACAAGGACAGATTCGACTACATAAGATAGGGGACCCTGTTCAATAGAAAAAGATAACAGAAAATCATAAAGCAGTCTTAGAAAAACATTTGCAAAAAGTAAAGTGGGGGCTTCCCTGGTGGCGCAGTGGTTGGGAGTCCCCTGCCGATGCAGGGGACACGGATTTGTGTCCCGGTCCGGGAAGATCCCACATGCCGCGGAGCGGCTGGGCCCGTGAGCCATGGCCGCTGAGCCTGCGCATCCGGAGCCTGTGCTCCGTAACGGGAGAGGCCACAACAGTGAGAGGCCTGCATACCGCAAAAAAAAAAAAAAAAAAGTAAAGTGGTAGTAACTTTATATACCAAGCTCATACAGATGTGTAAGAAAATAGATAACTAGACGGAGGAAACTGACAAATAATTCGCACAAAACGTAAATATAATTAGACAACAAATATTTTTAGTTTCATTACCAGTTAAAACAGCATTGAGGTAACATTTCACACCCATGACATAAGCAAAAACGTTTTTTAAGTGAAAGCACCCACTGTTGGTAAATTTGCATGAAACTAAAGCACTTCTGCATTGCTAGCGACAGATTATATTGTACATCCTCTTTGAAAGTCAGTTAGGAAATGTGCAAAATATTTAACTCTATAATCCACTTCTAAGGCTTTCCATCTTAAAACTGTGATATAAAAGAAAGAAAAAATTATATGTATAAAAACGCTTGATGCAGTTTATATAATAATAATTAGATGTAACTCAAGTGTCTAATATGAGGTAAATGGTTAAACTGTTACTAATATACTTGAATTGAGTACCAGCAGCCATGATATGGTGGAGACCATGTAGAGAAATGCTTATGAAGTAATGTTCAGTTAAAAAACAATCTATTTGCTGTACTCTAATTGCAAGTATGACAAATTATATGAACATACGAGTAATTATTTAATAAATGTGCATTGAACTTTTCTTTGCCTGGACACTGTTAGAGATTAAAAATAAATAAATTGTAGTAGCTGTATTAGGATGGGTAGTCTTTACATTTTAAATACTATTATGCTATTTAAAATTAAAGAAAAAAAAGGAGTTTTTAAAGCATTTGATGTTGACTTGGGTTTCTTTTGATTCCCTACAAGCATAGACTTACGGGGTGGTTTTGGTTGATTACAGGTCATGTTGGCAGAGCTCAAAGGCAAAGATGAAGTATATGCTGTGAAGGTCCTGAAGAAGGATGTCATCCTTCAGGATGATGACGTAGACTGCACAATGACAGAGAAGAGGATTTTGGCCCTGGCGCGGAAACACCCGTACCTAACCCAACTCTACTGCTGCTTCCAGACCAAGGTATGTTTTAGAAGAAGCTGGTGGACCTCCATCTTGGGGTTGTGCCGTAGGACACTATGGTATCTTGACTGTCAGATAAAAAAATCAATCATAGATCCCCTATATTCTTTTCTCAAAGACCTTGTAAAGTGGAATGGATTTTACCCTTGAAAAGATCAAGGTATATTTGAACAGTATTCTCTTTTTTAAGGGCAAGGGATTTTCCATTCAAGGTTGTGCTTGTGAAGGGATGAGAGGGCGATAGAAGTCTTTGCAAATGTAGCTGGACAAAGCCGAATGACTAACCCCGGTGTTTGCTCCTTGGAGAAAACAACAGGCATGGTTAGTCCTTTCTCAGCTCCTACCTTTCTGTCACTAGGCAAATCCCTTAAGTTCTTTATGGCCTTCGGATCAAATGAAAAAAGAGTAAAGGCCACCCGAACCACATCTAACCTGTGTAATGTCATATGAGGTAAAGGATGTGAACAAGTGCTTAAAATGCCATCGTGGGGAATTCCCTGGCAGTCCAGTGGTTAGGCTTCGACGCTTTCACTGCCGGCCTGGGGTTCGATCTCTGGTCTGGGACCTAAGATCCCATCCCGCAAGCGATGTGGCATGCCAAAAAAAAAAAAAAAGGTTGCCATCATGAACCACAAATATAAGGTAGCATTTTAAAACTACCGAGTAGGTGCCTGGGGACCAGAAGGTGGCAGTAAAGAAATGAAAATAATCTGTAAGTACATTATGGAGTCTGACCAATGAGTATCCTTAACTCATTTGTTACTTATTCTTAGTAAAGAAGAGAAATGCCAACATTCTTCATGAAGCTCTTTTATTACCCCATTTCGGGGAATAAAATGAGTGAAAGTCTTTCAGGATGCCTTAAGGATTTGTAGCCCTTAGCTCCTTGAGGAGGCAAAGGCAGCCTCACCTGAAACGCTTACCCGTATCCATCTGGAGCCCAGACAGTGACGGGTGCCACCTTGGACAGATGATCCCTTGCTCCTTGGCATACTCTCACCACCGTGTTGTTGCGAATGCCAGTCTTTCCACTTGGAATTCAGCAATTACTCATTTGGTCATTTGGCCAATTTTTATTTTATTGTATTTTACTGAATCCTTTCCATGTGCCCAGTGTCGTGCCAAGTGCTGGAGAGGTCGTGGTAAGCAAGGCCCAGTCCCCGACCTCAGGGAATTAACAGTCTCTTTGGTACACTATTTCCCAAAGGGTATTTCTCTGAACCTTCCTCACTTGAGAAACTTTTCAGAATAAAAGGGACGAAGTGAGAGAGTAGCATGGACATATATACACTACCAAATGTAAAATAGATAGCTAGTGGGAAGCAGCTGCATCGCACAGGGAGATCAGCTCTGTGCTTTGTGTCCACCTAGAGGAGTGGGATAGGGAGGGGGGGAGGGAGGGAGATGCAAGAGGGAGAGGATATGGAGATATATGGATACGTATAGCTGATTCACTTTGTTATACAGCAGAAACTAACACAACATTGTAAAGCAATTATACTCCAATACAGATGTTAAAAAAAAAAAAAAAAGAATGAAAGACTCTGTGGCCCATAGTTTGGGACACTGCAGCCTTGACCTCTCTTAGAGTGTCTCAACATACATTTGCTTGTCAGAGTTGCCGAGGAGAACTGCAATGGAAAAATATATATATTACCTTTACTTAATCTACTGTTTCCCAATGATGTGATCCCAAGCTTTACCTCACTGTCACTACCCATTCCAAACACTGATCAAATGAAATTTTTCCTAACCCTCTGAAATCGCTCAGGAGAATATGAAATATCTCCTGAAAAACCTGGAAATCCCTTTTCTGCACAAGTATAGGACTTAACATGCATCCAAAACCAGGATAGCTAGTGTGTATTGCCTGATATTTGTGGGTCTGTGCGTGCGTGTGTGTGTGTGTGTGTGTGTGTACACGCGCAGAATCCAGTGTGACAATAGAGGGTCAGTCACGACGTCAACTTTCCTCTTTTCTCCACATGAGCATGATCCTGGATTAATGAGAAATGTGTCCTATATCTCTTTATCTTCCATGGTACCTGTCAGAGGGCCTCACAACCGGTAGGTTGTCACTCTCAGAATTGGAGGGTTGGAAGATTTTTTTTTAATTCTCTCTTCTAATCTTCTTTTTGCACCAGTGAGAAAATCAGATTTCAGAGAAGTTAAGTCTTTTGCCCACAGAACTTGGTATTGGCCAAGTTGAACTTACCGTCTCCTCTCTGCGACTCCCAGTCCAGTGGGGACTTGCTCTGACATCACGTTGTATCTGCTCTGTGGGGAGAGCCCCCTCTTCCCCTGCGTCTAGCAGCTGTGCCATCTCTTTCACCCTCTGAGCTGGTTTCCTAGGCAGGCATCCACACGAGCTTGCTTTCTTTGGACGTGTTGCCAAGAGGTCTGACATCCCAGGAGGGGTCCAGTCCAGTTGTAGGGACCCTGTGAACCCCCTGTACGCGGTGGACCTGGAGAGCCAGAGCGGAGGCTCTGCTTCCCTGCCCTCTTGGTGAATGGGTGAGGGAGCAGGAAGGATGCCTTCAGTGTCAGCAGTGTTCCCTTCTGTGCGGTTAGAGTTCGCTGAGGGTCTTCACTGTGTGGCTGCTCTTGGAGCACAAGGTGGCATCATACAAAACCATGAGTTTCCTTTACGGCAGAACAGTGACCAAACTGACATGGAGATTGGTGTCTGGGTGGTAGAGGGTGAGGTTGGGGAGAGAGGGGACTCTCCTCTGAAGTTCAGAGATTTGCTAACTCTTCTCAGGCCAGTGTCAGATAGCGACAGTTACAGGAGCAAGTCCCAGACTACCGTTGCTCAGTAGAACATGGCACATCTCACTTTACGTGACAGATGTACGCTCATCTAATTTTTCTAAAGCAAATCATATTTTAACCTCGCCGAAGGACCTCTGCTTACTAGAAAGGAATCTGATGAGGAATCATAACCCCCCAGCTTAACCGTCAGAAAATGTGGCTTTTCCTATGGCAACCAGTCATCATGTTTTTAAAAAGGAGCTGTTGTTCACCTGACTCTGAGGTAGGTGCTGGGTATGGAGTTATCAGCAAAAAGGAAGGTGATTCTCAAGTGGAGGAGTTTACTCAATAAGGGATGGGGCTTAAAAGTTTTTTCACAGCAAAGGAAAACATAAACAAGACTAAAAGACAACCCTCAGAATGGGAGAAAATATTTGCAAATGAAGCAACTGACAAAGGATTAATCTCCAAAATTTACAAGCAGCTCATGCAGCTCAATATCAAAAAAACAAACAACCCAATCCAAAAATGGGCAGAAGACCTAACTAGACATTTCTCCAAAGAAGATATACAGATGGCCAACACACACATGAAAGGATGCTCAACATCACTAGTCAGTAGAGAAATGCAAATCAAAATTACAATGTGTATCATCTCACACCAGTCAGAATGGCCATCATCAAAAAATCTACGAACAATAAATGCTGGAGAAGGTGTGGAGAAAAGAGAACCTTTTTGCAGTGTTGGTGGGAATGTAAATTGATGCAGCCACTATGGAGAACAGTATGGAGGTTCCTTAAGAAACCAGTAATAGAACTACCATATGACCCCGCAGTCCCACTACTGGGCATATACCCTGAGAAAACCGTAGTTCCAAAAGTGTCATGTACCACAATGTTCATTGCAGCTCTGTTTACAATAGCCAGGACATGGAAGCAACCTAAGTGTCCATCGACAGATGAATGGATAAAGAAGATGTGGCGCATACATACAATGGAATATTACTCAGTCATAAAAAGAGACAAAAGTATTTGTAGTGAGGTGGATGGTCCTAGAGTCTGTCATACAGAGTGAAGTAAGTCAGAAAGAGAAAAACAAATACCATATGCGAACACATATATATGGAATCTAAAAAAAAAAAATGGTTCTGAAAAACCTAGGGGCAGGACATGATAAAAGATGCAGACATAGAGAATGGACTTGAGGACACGGGGAGGGAGAAGGGTAAGCTGGGACGAAGTGAGAGAGTGGCATGGACATATATATACTACCAAATGTAAAACTGATAGCTAGTGGGAAGCAGCCGCATAACACAGGGAGATCAGCTCGGTGCTTTGTGACCACCTAGAGGGGTGGGATAGGGAGGGTGGGAGGGAGGGAGATGCAAGAGGGAGGAGATATGGGGATATATGTACATGTATAGCTGATTCACTTTGTTATACAGCAGAAACTAACACCATTGTAAAGTAATTATACTCCAATAAAGATGTTAAAAAAAAAAAAGAAAAGAAACTACTAGTCGAATTTTGATGTAAAATAAATAAGGGATGGGGGTGGGGAGTTATACTAACTTCCATAACAAACAGCTTTGAGACGGTATGTTCTGGGTGGAGGTGTTCGAGCTGGGAGGACTGAGAGGAGGGGATGAGCTTTAGTCTGGAGGTGGGGAAAGAGCTCAGTCTAGGCTCTGCAGAGTGGGGAGGACTGGGACAGGACTTGGGTGGGAATGGGAGCCGAGTTCAGTGGCCATCGTTCAGTCCAGCTTTAGTTTCACTTTTCCTGAAAAGAAAGGGCGGTGTTTCTGAGCCACCGTAAGCCTGGTTTTGACTAAGACTCTAATACATGATTAAGGAACACAAGACCTGCTTGCAATCCTATTAAGATTTCTTTCATTCTTGTTTGATTATGACACAGAGAGCAGCAATAATGTTAAGTCGGGCTTGATTATTTTTAGATGGGCCTTTATTGTTTGGTATGTAGAAGAAACAGCCCCTACGAAAGCATTCCTTTGAGAAGTTCCTGAGGGATCGCACATGGCTTCAGGGCACGCGCTACGCAGATTGCCTGACAGGACTTGGAAGTGTGTGAGGTCCCATGTCTGGTATGGTGACCAATGGCAATGATTGTGTAAGCCTACTGGCGCCAATCGTGACGTCAGGTCATGAGTTAGATCTGGTCACCACAGCCCACTGAATGACCAAGTTACAGTTAAAGAAGGATGTGGCCTTTTCTGTGCCAAGCCCACCTGC